ATTCTGATCCACATAAAATAATAAAAATTTGTTATCATCAATTAAAATACGCTCTCCCAAAATTAATTGGTGACACATTCATGTGTTAAATGTACTTGCAGTTTATTAACAACTCCATTACTCCATTTACAATTACATGTTTTGCATTTGGCTCCAAAATGTCCTGAATGTTTTGAAGGATAACATTCAAAATGTTGCCAAACTGCATTTTTTGGTCACCCCCCATGATTTTTTGAACTATTTATATCTACATCAAGTAATTTTATGGATTGTGGAAAATTAATGATTTATGAAAGTTGCACAAAAAGAAAATAGGAAAAATTCATTGATTCAAGGAAAATATCTGGAGCCTTTTACTTTATTGTTTATTAAACAATATAAAATCCTATGTAGCAAGTTTTTTTTACCATGGTATTGATTTTTTTATTACTTATGCCTAAAAAATAATTTACAATGAAATAAAGGATCAAGGCTATTTATACTAATTGAAGAATGATATAGTTTTCATGAGACATTGCAAAATAGAACCAAATGTTCATATTTATTTATTTTTACGAAGTAATCTGTTACATACAATAATAGGCAAGGGAATCCATTTATAAATTAATATTATTTATTATTTTTATAATTTTAATAATAATAACAAGTAAGGAAAAAAAGAAGACATAGTAAAAATCATTTATATACAAAAGGTATTAATTTAACAATTTACTATTAATTTTAACATGCATTGTAAATAATAATAGGAAAAGGAAAGCAAAGAGCAAGTCATAGTTGAAGACTTATTCATAGCACTTCATCTGAATCTTCTGAATTTATTCGTTTTATTAGTAGTAAGTTGAATGGATTCTAAAGAAGATTGGGTGACAGGTTAATAAAGATGTCTCTGCAACTAGGAAGTTGCAACCCAAAAAAATATTGACATTTAATGCTGCAACTGCTGCAACTGCCTGTAATTGTCTGCAACCTCTGGTTGGTCAGTTATTTCAATCACTATAAAACTAAATTTATTTTTATCAAAAAAAATTTTTTAATTAATGATTTTATTTAAAAACAATAAATCCCATTTTGCAGTTATGTGATTCCATTTTTGATACTAAATTATCATAATTATAGTTGCAGATGGTTGCAGATGTTGCAGAAAAGGTTGCAACTCGGGCTTTAAAACCTGCAGTTGCAGAAAATGTGAAAACAGTTACAGACATCAACTTTATAACTGGCATTAGGATTTAAATTAATTAGGAAGAGAAGATTAACAATTAAATTAATTAGATATTTACATTCTAAATAAATATATTATTATTTTTTTAAGGGTAATATTATATATAGAAAGGTTCTTTTTATGAAATATACAGAACCTATGTGACAAATAAGAATTAACTCTTAGAGTTGGTTAAGGTTGTGGGCGAAACTCCTCCAGAAATCAATCAACAGAGTTTTGACAGGTTACACATTAATTGTTTATTAGAGTTTCGCATTTGGAGGTTTTATCAATCAGAGTTTTGACAAGGTATATACTAATTGTTCATTAGAGTTTCAACAGAGTTTCAACAGTCATTAAAAGGCTTCGGCAAGCAACTTCAGAGTTGGTAAACACTATGTAATTCCTGCCACCCCTAAGCCCACAATCATTGATAAATGTCACGTGGGTTTTACAAAAATTTTGAGCTACAATTTAGTTTCCATTTTTGTAGAATGAATAGCCATTTTTGGTAGGGTACTGTATATTCCATAAAAAGAACCTTTCTGTATATAAATATTTTCCTTTCTCTCTTTAATTGTTGTAGAGTAGACTTAATACCTTCTCTTCAGCGCACAAAATTTTCTTGTGAAATTTCGGGAATTTTTTTCTGAAATGGACGAAAATGTAACAGTCGTGTGACATGTCCTTTCAAATTATTTTCTATATTAAATAAAAAATTTCTAATTCGTGTCACATGAAATTTTTTTAAAATATCTCGTTATTTTTATAATAAACTCGAACTTCGTTGTTAGAGTAAAATAAAAATACTACATTAAA